ACACACACACACACACACACACACACACACACACACACACACACACACACACACACACACACACACACACGCGTATATATGTATAGTACACCACATACACGCGCATATACATTTCTAAAAAAAAAATTATATGTTTCTCCATAGCCACAATTTGTATCTCAGAAAAATCCTTTATTTAAATTCTTCGTTGCATGACTACAAAGTATATAAGGTATTGAAATTAAAAAAAATACATTTTATAAGACATGAACAATATATTCATCAATAAATTTTAATAAAAATGTCAAGATAACGTTAACTTTCTTTATAAAAGAATGTCAAATGATGTAAAAAAAGTCATTTTTTAAACATTAAAACTTAATTATGTTGGAAACCTAACGCTGAACTTTTTTGACTTACGGCATCATTTTTAACATTTAAAAATTTAATCCAATGCGAAGTAATGTTCTACTGTAAATAAGTGTAATACTCATATATAATTGTATGTATACAGGATGTCCGGTAATGTCCCCATAATTTCATACAGAACGAACTAAACTGAGTTGAATTTCTCTATCAGTAATTTGTAATTTTCACAATAGTTAACGAGATATTAATTTCTAAAAATTGCTGAATAAGCGAATAAAATCGATGCATAAGACAGTTTTAAGATGTTTTTCAGAATTCTTTATGAAATATCTTGAAGATGTTTCTCAAAAAAACTCTTAAAAATATTTTAAAGTTGTTTCATGCACTGATTTTAGACACTCTGCTCATTGGTTAACTTAAAAAAAAAAAGATGTTTATTTATGCAAAAGACGCCTGAAATAATTAATCCGAGTGATATTTATTTATAATAACATATTATCCCATATAGTACAGAAAAATTGCAGAAATATTGCAGAATAATTTCACTGAAACATTGCAATATTGTAAGGTGGTTGCGAAACGTTGATGGATTATTGTTGCAAAATTTCAACAATGTTAAGCTGTTAACTACAAATATTATTCACATTAATGTAATAATACGTACATACGCCACTTGATAAGTTAATCATAGTGTTAAGTTAATCGCAGTGATTCTTTTTAATTCAAAGTCACTCCGAATCAATTGAAATCGATTAAGAAATTTACGGAAATTTATCAATAAAGTTCGGGCGATGGTTTATTCTTGCGTTCACATCAGGCATACAAATATATCATCGATCACATAATTAATATTTCAATAAATCATTTTCAGCAATTTAATTGCTTATCATCTTATCCGATAATGATGCATTGATTGTATCCAAACTCGATATTATATAATCTTTTGATTTCATATTTTTTATTTTATTAAAATAAATATAAAACTTAGCT